CTGATTGTTTTTTGTTTTTACAATTCAGGGGTGTGTCTGTCAAAACTTTGTCTAGTCAGCTCCTTACAATCTGGTCCCACTTGTCAGAAAGTGATCAAATGAGCCAAATCACCTGAATAGTGCGATTTGCAAAATGTTTACCGAATCCGTGGTGATTTTTGCAAAAAATTAGTGACCTGGTGGTTTTCCGCAGATGAAGCCCCAAATGTGGTGGTTTTTCGCAATTCACTCAAAACAAGACGTTTTGCAAATTTTAGTGCCCTGAACTATCTAGCATTCTGGCACTATTTTCAGGTTTATCTATTGCTCATCGGCAGGAGTCTACCTTAAATCAGACCTGCTCCCACACTTTGAGGTATTTCCATACCACTCACATGAATGTCAACATAAAGGCGCCACCATAACTGACTTGTGGCGAGCGTATGTATACCCATCCGGCAGACCGACGCCGTGGACCCGAAAAGCCGGCACAAGGGAAAGCTGGAGACGGAGAGCCTGCTGGAGACGAGCGGCGTGAACTGGACGTCCATCAGGCCGGTCTACATCTACGGCCCTCTCAACTACAACCCCGTGGAGGAGTGGTTCTTCCACCGGCTCAAGGCTGGTCGCCCGATCCCCATCCCTAACGCCGGGAACCAGATCACCCAGCTCGGCCACGTCAAGGTCGGTGCATTGACATGCTGTGAATCGCTATTGTGCTTGATGTTTTAGAAGCCATCCTCTGTATCTTGTGCTGGTTTGCAACAGGATTTGGCGACGGCCTTCATCAAGGTCCTCGGCAACCCCAAGGCGAGCAAGCAGGTGTACAACATCTCTGGCAGCAAGTACGTCACCTTCGACGGGCTAGCACGGGCATGCGCAAAGGTCATCAATGACAAACCGCTCCTCATTTGCAAACTACTACTCCATATCTGGGCAATTAATTACTCCCTCCGTAAACTAATATAAGAGCGTTTAGAATACTAAAATAGTGATCTAAACGCTCTTATATTAGTTTACAGAGGGAGTAGTTTCTAACTATTCGCAAAAAAAAATCTAACTATACTTTTTCTTTTGCTTGGTGTTTGGTATGCAATGCAGGCTGGAGGGTTCCCTGAGCCGGAGATCATCCACTACAACCCCAAGGACTTCGATTTCGGCAAGAAGAAGGCCTTCCCCTTCAGAGACCAGGTATTTCTTCTGCATCCTGCTCTGAAAAAGTACAACTATTGTAGTGTTGCTGACTGACACTGCACGATGCAACGATGGCAGCATTTCTTCGCGTCGGTGGAGAAGGCCAGCAAGGACCTCGGGGTTACACCGGAGTACGACCTCCTCGACGGCTTGACGGACTCCTACAACCTCGACTTCGGCCGCGGGACCTTCAGGAAGGAGGCCGACTTCACCACGGACGACATGATCCTTGGCAAGAAGCTCGTGAGCGTGTGAGCCGATCTGAGGCGTGCATGGACGGACACATGGCTCATGGCAGCGCAAAGCGTGTGGCGACTGTGCCTGTGCGGGTGCATATGTAGCACAGGGAAGACGATCTCAGTTTTGGGATATAAGGTTCACTCATCTGATGAAATGTACTGCTGACACCTAATTCTCTCCTCGTGCCATTTGGTTTATTTCGGTTCAGTTTATATTGTTTATAATAAATATCAGTTTTCTAAGAACGGAACCCGAATTTGATCACTAATGATTTGAAAACTGAACCTAATAATATCGGTTTTCTAAGAGTGGAACCCGAATTTGATCACTAATGATTTGAAAACTGAACCTAATAATATCGGTTTTCTAAGAGTGGAACCCGAATTTGATCACTAAAGATTTGAAAACCGAACCTAATATTATCGGTTTTCTAAGAACGGAACCTGAATTTGATCACTAAAGATTTGAAAACCGAACCTAATAATATCGGTTTACTAAGAACGGAACCTGAATTTGATCACTAAAGATTTGAAAACCGAACCAAATAATATCGGTTTACTAAGAACG